ATATATATATATATATATATATATATATATATATATATATATATATATATATATATATATATATATATATATATATATGTATATAGTACCGAAACGAATAAAAAGATACGAGCAGTAATAATGATATCGAAAATAATTGAATTACATTACAATATGAAATTATAAATGTAACTTACTGCTTTCATTGAAAGTATCATTTTAGAAACCGTTTACAATACACCTGCCTATTGCACGTTGTATTATCAGCGATGCAACAATACCACCAAATTAAATTTGTACATATAAGAGCCATTACAATAGCTTATAAAGCCAATCATTAAACTGATCTAATAAGACCAGCAATCAATGGCTAAGGCGAACTCCATTTTATCACAGACATCTCAAAATTTTTAGAAAGTCTGACATGAAAAAAAAAAAGATGAAAATACAAGAAAGTAGTTTTCAACAATTCTTCGTGGCTAAAAGAATAAGTCATCGGAAAGCATTAAAAGATACAATCCGCGTTGTAAAATGGTATTGAGAAAAGCAAAAATTAAGAAATACTTTGATTTTGGGTTTGTTACCCCATATTTGGGTAACAAAAAATCTACCAAAGAGATGGCAATAGTCAGTAGGAAAAGTAGTCTGAAATGTTACAACGAAATGAGAATAAAGGATAAATCGTCAACATTTCAAAAAAAATGGCAATAAAGGCACCATAAACGGCCTCAAGTTTGATACTCAGAATATTTCCAAGCATACACAAACATACATACATACAAACGCACGAACGTTCAATGACCCACAACTATTATTACTACAACAGTTTGTCAATAAATTTGATTTTGCAGAGGAAAATTTCAGCGTTCATTTCAAAACTTTTTTGCATAAAGTAAGAAATGAAGATCCAATTTGCTAAATAAATATGGTACGAAAGAGATGGCTACCGAAATATACTACAAACAACGATAATGTGTTTGTTCAGCAAAAATAAGGCATATGATGATCGAGGTAGCTTGCTTAGCAAGTAGCGTCAATTTATCTCATACTTTACATTTTACAGTACCCTTAATTGCCGGTTACAAAGTTTTGGAGCAATATACTGTGCTGAAAACTAATAAATTAAAGATGCAAATTAATGGAGAAAGCTCAATGAATGAATAAAAGAAGTTAATCAATTGCAATAGTTTCATAGAATGTTATCCTAAACAAAATGTAGGAATATTATAATAATCTCAGAAATGAAATCTTCCCAGAAACATAACCACTTCATTTAATTCTAAAAAATAAAACCAATGCAAAATCATTTGTTGAAGGCTCCAAAAACAGCCCACATCACATCAACACATGAATCTTTTTTCTTTTCGCTTTCAGCGTCGTAATCAAGTTCAAGTAAAGATCGTACACGCTTCATTGCTACTTCATAATCCTGAAGAAGAGAAATGGACTACAAGTAAAAACTGATGTCAGACCAAACAGTAATGAATACACTCAGTATTTTTTATGCTTTGAATTCTACTTCAAAAACCAATCATATTTCGCAAAAATGAACCTGAAAAGATTAATTTTTATGCAGACTGCTATGATAATATCCTGCTAATGAAAGATGAAATTACAAAATACTGAGGGAAGTGAATCTGATAAATCGTAATCCAGTGAATACTAGTTATCGCATCCATCAAAGAACTATGTACAATCACTGTTCACAGATTTATAATGCGTTTTGCTTATTATTTTGCGAAAGCTTATATTCTCCAAGCAGTACGTTTGCAGAAGTTCGATGATTAGCTGCCTCTTCTTTCCTATTTGGTCCACTCCAAGAAAGAAATGATACGACAAAATTAGAGAAAGTTTCATACTGAGATGAAATACCGTCAGAACCATTTTGTGAATCCATAAGAAAGATACCGAGGAACCAACATATACTTGAGGATTCTGCTTGATATGAGGTTTTTTCCGAATAAGGTTCGTAAATGAACCTTTTACGAAATACAATAGTGAAGAACCGGATAAATATAACGCGATGAGAACTGAATCGGTGGGCAAAGAAAAAAAAACCTCTCGCTATGAAAATATATCCAGGAAATGAACAATTTTCTATTCAAAAAAGTTCAATTATTTCAAAAGAAACCTCTGAAAAACCAATGAATAGAATCATTAATGTGTGGAAATAATTACAACTGAAAATTAATTAGCACATTTCCATTGTATACTTTCAATGGAATTAATTAGAGTTCTGATGAAAACGTTATAATTTGAGATGGCAGACTCTATTTGACGCCTCAAAAATTGTGTTTCAAAGAAATCTGCCAACTAGTGTAAAACCACCATTAAAACCATGAAATCTGTATAAATCAGGTAGAAATTTGTCTTTCAGAAAAGGACAGACTTGTCAAGTCGTAAATTAATAACAATTAAATAGAATGCTAACCTGATCGGAAAGAGGGTTAAAAGCATTTTCCAAAACATCGCTGGCATGAGCCAGCACTACCAATGATATCATTCTTTTCTCCATTCTATGTACATCATTAGTCCATCGCGACAATACAGTTTCTTGTACCTTCTGAAAAAAGAAAACAATGCTTAAAATCTATGCTTACAATGCTTAAAATGCTTCCCTCTTATTTTCCCTTTTTTTTTCTGTCGACAACAGAAATAATTATTCGTTTGAATTCTAATTTTCTTTAGGAAACAGTTTCATAATTAATGCCCAGATTAAATTCAACAGCAAATGAAACATTTGATAAAAATTTCGATGCGTGGGATCGAAACATATGACAGCCAACAGCAGACAATTTTATTTTGACAACTGATTGCTGATTAAATGATTTGACGTCTAATTTAAATTTGAGAAAAAAATGATATTCGATTTCCATTCTTGTGAAAAGTAATAGGCATGACGTCCGATTGTTTAAACTGATCTTAATAAAGTGTAGACAATGACTTGCAAACAAAACTGGCTGTAGTGAACCAAACTGACTCTTATAAGCTTACAAATCAAAACAAAAAGATAAACTATGATTTTCTTCACAGTGTGTTAACATATTTGCATGTGGCATACATGAAAAAGAAGCAAAAACACGGGAAGCCATGCAATTAGAACGAACTAGATGTAAATAGCCAAGTACTCACGTATAACATAACTGGTGATAATCTCAACAATTTCAGAATTAACACGTTACGAGCTCGAATAATAATGACAGCACTCTTCCACAGTTCAAATCATAATCTTTACATAACCAACATAAGAGCTAGGCAGGCCTTAGTCTTTTCAATTCGCTCAGCTCCTAGTTTATTTTTAAGAAACAAAAAATGCAAAACCTTTATCAGTTTCTGTTTCATGCTGCCATCGTGAAGTGGATGGGTAGTCATGTCGAAGAGAAAGAAATTTTGCTTTTCCGTTGTTAATACACCTTTTTCGACTAAATTTTTCGCTAACCGTTCGCGGACATTGCGAAGCTAAAAGAAACATTTTAGCACTATTAAATACTTTTAAACTGACAAATTGATGCTCGAAATTTAAGCATTATTAAATATTTTTAAAGTGACAAATTAATGCTCGAAATTTAGAAGATTTAAGCAACTGCGCAGCCGACGCAAAGGCATAAAATTCAAGTCTTCCAAAGTCGAAAGTGAGAAATCATGAACAGTAACCTGATAACGCAATTTGAGTGGATTCCACGTTTCACCACTGAGATATTCAATCCAACTTGTCACGGTTTCCGGTGGTTGTGTTTCCTTGATATGCTTTAATGCTTCGTCCAAAATCACATCGCCTGTGGGTTGATCACTTTTTAATAAGACCTAAAGTACAGTAGTAGTTACAATAGCAGAGAATCACTTCAAACAACATTAGTGTTAAAATAATTCAACCATTCTCATTTCATTGATAATTTTCTTTTTTTAATGCGATCAACCACATCACTCAGTTGAATGAATTATTTTTTGCTGTGAATTAATTTTGCAATTTAAAAACCCTATAATTTTTCTCAGAATTCATTTTTCGCACTTTAAAAGCAAGCATATGGCTTTAAAAAGCAACAGCTTATGTGTTAAAGGGTTTTCAAAATGTAAAATAAATTTGCAAAGAAAAAAAAGAAATATTCCCAGTTCTTCAACGAATTATTCTTAACATCAAGATACGATAGAGAGATGACATAAGTCTCATACACACGTATATGTATTTAAGTAATTATAATAAAAACAGACCTTCCTGCTCAATAAACTCTTCCTCCGCATTCCAGATTTTTCTAATTCGATTCGATTCCTCAGTGCTAATTCAGTAAGAATGCATCCTCGAAGACCACTACTGATACAATCATTCCAAAATGATGTGTAACCCTAAATAATAACAAAGGATTTACAATGATCACAGCTCAATCTGCACTGCACTTCGATCAAGGATCAATGAATTAAATATGTAGTCAGCAATTCAAAATTATTTATTTAAAAACAATTGTTTGTTAGACTCTCTTCGTACAAATGATAACTTTCAGGTTTAAGTTGTATGGATCATACGCAAAAGATTTCGGATTAACAAAAAAAAAAAAGCTAACTTCTCTATCCTTCAAACCAAGTAGTAAAATTTGTTCCATTAACGTTAGTCGTGTAGCTTTATCATCATCAAATTCTCCTTTAGAATCATCACTTTCAAAATTATCAATGTCTTTTGCATTCTGAAAAAAAAAAAGGAAAAGGAAAAAGTAAATAATCATAATACGAATATTACAAGAATACGAAAAAGTTCAAAAATTTGATAATTCCATCATGTTTTGTCATGCAAAGAATTAGCCAAAGTCTGTAAACCTCATCATTTTTGATAGATGTCAAAGTTGTTTTACGTCGTTGTACGAGACCATCTGACATCGTAATGTTTTCGATAATTTTTATGATTCAAATCTAAAATTTAAAAAAAAATAACATTCATACGTTCATATTAGAATTACATTTTAAGAGAAACACAAAAACATTCACTAATCAATAGATCAATAAAAACACTTCGCAAAAGTCTTTTATCAGAGTGGAATATCGGAATGTAAAAAGAATTATTCAATTTGTTATTTTCATCAGCATTACGTATGGTTGGATCGGTAAATCATTTCGCTCTTTTTCTCTCCTCTCTTTTCTCTTCCTTTCCTCTCTCTCTCTCTCTCTCTCTCTCTCTCTCTCTCTCTCT